TCATTTTTTGTGGCCCTTTACCAATTTCTTGCTAACCTCCCCTCCCCTTCCTCCTTTCTCACCTCTAGTAGACTCAGTTCTGTTCTCTCCTTTTGAAAGTTCAATGAATTATTGTGATTGTGGTATCTTTCTTTCTTTCTTTTTTTATTTTTAGCTCCCACTGATGAGTGAGAACCTGTGGTATTTCTCTTTCTGTGCCTGGCTTATTTCACTTAACATAATTTTCTCCAAGCATATCTGTGCTGCTGTGAATGGCAGAATTTCGTTCTTTTTTATGGCTGAGTAGTGTCCCATTGTGTATATGTACCACATTTTCCTTATCCAGTCGTCCATTGATGGATATTTAGGTTGGTTCTATAGCTTGGCTATACTCAATAGAGCTGTGATAAACATGGGAGTGCAGGTGTCTCTCTGACATGATGATTTTCATTCTTTTGGGTACATACCCAGCAGTGGGACTGCTGGATCATATGGCAGTTCTAGCTGTAGTTGTCTGAGGAACCTCCATATCATTTTTCATCATGGCTGCACTAATTTATAGTCCCAGGTACAGTGTAGCTGTATCATCACCAGTATTTGTTATTCTCTTGTCTTTTTTGATAGTTGCAGTCTAAATGGGATGAGATGATATCTCAGCGTGATTTTGACTTGCATGTCTTTAGTGCTTAGTGATATTGAGCATTTTTTCATGGCTCTGTTGGCCATTTGTATGTCTTCATAGAAGAAATCAGGCAACGAGCATCTCGATGGAATACTCCATGGCACGTTCACCTTTGTATTCCTATAGTCATATAATAGGCATTCAATAAATGCTTACTGACTGAACAAATGAAGTTGATGGGATGGCTAGAACTTTTAAGATGGTCAACAGAAAGAACATTATTATAGGCAGTGGGAACGGAAGAGAGCAAAGTCTTGGAGGAGAGAAGGTACAGGACAACTGGACATCTTCTGGTTGCCTCATAGTGGAGGATATTGCAAGTAATAAGGATGAAAAGGTAGTTGGAGCTAGATATTGTGTCTTTTCCCATTTTCCCCTCAAATTTCTATATCTTTGTCCGCAAGTTTTTAGGAGTTCTTTATATATGAGATATTAACTAACTGTGGTGTATTTTCTCCAAGTTTGACAGCTGTATTTTTGACTTTGTTTATGGTTTTTTTGGTCATAAAAATTAGAAAATTTTATGTAGTAAAATTTATCAATCTTTTGTGCTCTGTGAATTTTGAGTTATTGTTAGAAAGCCTTTCCTAACACTAAGATTAAATAGAAATTCACCTGTGTTTTTTCCTAGTATTGGTATGGTTTTACTTTTTACATTTTGATTCCTAATACATTTAGAGTTTATTCTTGTGAATGATACAAGATATGGATCTAATAATATATTTTTCCAAAAGGCTACCTAACTGTCCCAGAACAATTTATTAAATAGTTCTTTACTCCAGTGGCATTTGAAATGTCACCTTTGTCACATGCTGAATTTCTGTATGCTTTTTGGTCTAACTCTGTCTGGTCTTTTTCTTCTGTTCCACTGGTATATTTGTCTATTCATGGATTATTTCAACAATGTTGTAATTAGAGAGGTTCTATAGTATACTTTAATGTTTTATTGGGCTAGTCTCCCTTATAATTTTTTCTTTTCCATTATTTTTCTATATTCTTGCATGTTTGTTTTTCCAAAAGAACTTTAGCATTAATTTGTCTAACTCCACAAAATAACTGAACAGCTTTTTGAAAAGCTGAATGGCATGAACCAACTTATATTGATAGAAATAACAAGAGGCATCTGAACAGGGACATGTAGGTGACTGAGCCCTAGTTCACGTGGACCCCTTGGGACCACATTTAACCAGATACTGTAAAGGATAAAATTTTCCATCTTTTTATTGAGTTCATAGAAATGGTGCCAACTTCCTAGAAGGGACTGGAGACACACAGGGGAGATGATTCTTGTCCAAATCTATTGCAGCAAATGCTGTTGATGTCCATCCATATCTTCTTGGTCCACTCTGGAGGTCATCTTCAGACAGTTTCCATACCTGCAGGTAATTCCTGCCTCTCTTTTCCTGAGGATGCTGGGGTGTGTGGCAGGTCAAAGTGTTGGAAAGTTGATACCTCAGGGACTATTTTTTAACCAATGAAACATGGGTATGCTGGATAATTACCCTAGCTTTCTTGCCCCCCCAAGAAGAATAATTTTGAAGTGTGTTTCATGTGTCTCTTAGAGAGTCCACAACAGGGTTGAGCCCCAGTCCCCGTATCAGTAGGCCACGGTAGATGACGTAGTCCATGTAGGTCAGCCTCCCAGGGTACAGAGCAGAGCAGAGGAGGGTTGTGGGGCTATCTTTCATCTGCCTTTCCAAATCTCTTCTCTATCCTTCTCCATTAGCCCCTATGGAATAATCTTTGTGGATTTAGTCAACAAGCACCCTTGCCCTGTTAGAGGATTGAAAGAGAGACAGGGAAAGTCATGTTTGCTCAGCTTTCTTCTCTGCAGTGTTGTCAAGAGTTGGCAGGTCCCTTAACCAAAGATCACAACTTCTGTCAAGGTAACCCTCTGCACATAACTCTCTTCTCCTGAGGTCTGGGGAACCACTCTTTTCACTGGCCCCATCAGACTTAGAGGATTATGATTTGCATCTGCTCTTAATGACCTTGGAATATTGCTTTATCACTTGTGATTTCTCTGCACCCTGTAATTAAATGTCCATCAAATTATCCCATTTGAGGGCTGCTCAGCTCTCTTGGTTAGAGCGTGGTGTTAAGGATTTGGATCCCTGTACTGGCTAGCCACCAAGAAAAAAAAAATTTATCCCATTTGAGCGCTCCATCTCAGTCTTACCAGCTACTCGACTGCTCTAAGAGCAGCAAAT